ACTTTTCATGTATAACACATAAACAGGAACACTTCAGTGACATATACAAGGTTGAAAAAAAAACAAAAAAATTTCAAACACATTAATGAGGAATCCTTGAGACTACTGTGTACCACATACATTTTTTTTTTTTTCAACAAGTCGACCGTCTCCCACCGAGGCAGGCTGACCCACCGAGGCAGGGTGACCCCAAAAAAAAAGAAAGAAAATCCCCAAAAAGAAAATACTTTCATCATCATTCAACACTTTCACCACACTCGCACATTATCACTGTTTTTGCAGAGGTGCTCAGAATACAACAGTTTAGAAGCATACACATATAAAGATACACAACATATCCCTCCAAACTGCCCTATCCCAAACCCCCCCCTTTAAAGTGAGGCATTGTACTTCCCATTTCCAGGACTCAAGCCAACAATAAAAACCCGGGTTTTCCCCTGACCCCCTTCACAAAATATTACCCGCCACACTCCAACAGATCGTAGGTCCCAAGTCCCATTCATTCCATCTACAATAAGTGTCGGGGGCCCAAGACTGTTCAACGCCTCCCACATACAAAAGGGGGGATTCCCAACGACCCCTGGCATCTTCAAGCGGCACTGACAACCCCTAAAGTCGGTTCCTGACCACCCGGGCTGGGGCTCGTACTTGGTGCGTGCAGCCAGCAGAAACCCGGGTTATCGGGTTTCTGATCCACCAGGAGGCCTGGTCACAACCGGGCCGGGGGGGCGTTGCCCCCCGGAACTCTCCCGGGTAAAACAACAGAAATTCCCCCCTCCTATTAACACGCTCACGGCTTTTAGAAGTCCAACCCCCTTGCCCAAAAACCTCCTTTACCCCCTCTCTCCAACCCTTTGAGGACGACCCCTACCCGCCTTTCCCTTTCCCCCATAGATTTATATTTTTCCATGTCATTCTATTTTTGCCATTCTCTTTTAAATGCCCAAACCACCTCAAAACCCCCTCTTCGGGCCCCTTAACAAATATTTTTTATTAACTCCACACCTTTTCCTAATTTCCCACTAATTTTTCGCATAATTTTTTACACCACCATTCCCTTAAACAGGCTTTTCACTGCCTCCAACCGTTTCCTTGTCTGCTTTTTACCCCCCAAGTTCACACCCATAAAAGATGTTGGTACTACTATCTTTCATACATTCCCTTCTTCGCCCCCATAATAACGTTTTTTGACTCCACATTACCTCAAGCACCACTCACCTTTTTTTCCCTCATCAATTCTATGATTAACCTATCCTTAAAAAATCCATCCGCCGACACTCAATCCCAAGTATCTAAAACATTCATTTCTTCCATACTCCTCCCCCCCCAATTTTAATACCCAATTTTTTTTCTTTATCTAAATCATTTGACACCCTCATCCCCTTTCTCTTTCTTTTTTCACTTTCAACTTTCTCCTTTCACACTTCCCAAATCATCCAAAACCCTTTGAAAATTTTTCTTTAAACTCCCATAAGCACAGATCATCAGAAAAAAAGTAACGTGTCAATTCCATTTTAAATTTGATTCCCCAAAATTTAATCCCACCCCCCTCCAAACCCCCTAGCATTTATTCCCCTTTACAACCCCATCTATAAAATATTAAAAAACCCATGGTGACATTAACACCCCTGTCTAAGACCTACTTTTCCCCGGGGAAGTAGTCTCCCTCCTTCTACCACCCAACCTGAGCCTCATACCCTCATAAAAAACTTTACAATTTTAAATAATTTACCCCCTTTTCCATAACTTGCAACACTGCCACATTGCCCTCTATCCACCTATCTATCCCCTTTTCAAAACCCATAAATGCAAAAAAACTTCCCTACCTTTATCTAAATACTGTTCACATACATGCTTCAATGTAAACACTTGATCTACACATCCCTACCCACTCTGAAACCTCCTTGCTCATCCACAATCCTACATTCTGTCTTCCCTCTAATTCTTTCAATTATAACCCTACCATACACTTTTCCTGGTATACTCAATAAAACTTATTCCTCTATAATTTTTACAATCTCTTTTGTCCCCTTTCCCTTTATATAAAGGGACATACATGCTCTCTGCAATCCCTAGGTACCTTCCCCTCTTTCATACATTTATTAAACAAAAGTACCAACCACTCCAACACTATATCCCCCCCTGCTTTTAACATTTCTGTCATGATCCCATCAGTTCCAGCTGCTTTTTCCCCCTTTTATTCTAGTAATGCCTCGCGTACCTCCCCCACACTTACATTCTGCTCTTCTTCACCTCCTAAAAAAATGGTATACCTCCCTGACCAGTGCATGAAATTACCGCCTCCCTTTCTTCCTCAACATTTAAAAATTCCTCAAAATATTCTCGCCATCTACCTAATACCTCCCTCTCCCCATCTACTAACTCCCCCACTCTGTTTTTAAAATGACAAAATCCATACTTTCCCCAGGCTTTCTTAACTTGTTTAACTCACTCCAAATTTTTTTTCTTATTTTCATTAAAATTTCTTGACAGTGCCTCTCCCACTCTTTTATCTGCTCTCCTTTTGCACTCTTTTCACCACTCTCTTCACCTTTCTTTTACTCTCCATATACTTGCTCTTCTTATAACACTTCTGCTTTGTAAAAACCTCTCGTAAGCTACCTTTTTCTCTTTTATCACACCCTTTACTTCATCATTCCACCAATCACTCCTCTTTCCTCCTCCCCCCACCCCCCTATAACCACAAACTTCTCCCCCAAACATTCTAATACTGCATTTTTAAAACTATTCCAACCCTTTTCAACCCCCCCACTACTCATCTTTGCACTAGCCCACCTTTCTGCCAATAGTCGCTTATATCTCGCCCGAACTTCCTCCTCCCTTAGTTTATACACTTTCACCTCCCTCTTACTTGTTGTTGCCACCTTCCTCTTTTCCCATCTACCTCTTACTCTAACTGTAGCTACAACTAAATAATGTATTATTATTATTATTATTATATGCACTATTATTTTTATACATATTATTATTATTACAAGTATTATTATTATTATTTATTAGTACATATGTATTCTTATAATAATTTATATTATTATATTAGGTAGTATATTATATTAGGTAGTATTATTATATGAGGTAGTAGGTTGGTAGACAGCAACCACCCAGGGAAGTACTACCGTCCTGCCAGATGACTGTGAAACAAAAACCTGTAACTGTTTTGCATGATGGTAGGATTGCTGGTTTCTTTTTCTGTCTCATAAACACGCTAAGATAACAGGGATATCTTGCTACTCCTACTTACACTTTGGTCACACTTCACAGACACGCACATGCATATATATATATACATACATCTAGGTTTTTCTCCTTTTTCTAAATAGCTCTTGTTCTTTTTTATTTCTTCTATTGTCCATGGGGAAGTGGAAAAGAATCTTTCCTCCGTAAGCCATGCGTGTCGTATGAGGCGACTAAAATGCCGGGAGCAATGGGCTAGTAACCCCTTCTCCTGTATACATTTACTAAAAAAGAGAAGAAGAAAAGTGCTGTTGGAGTGTGAGCAAAGTAACATTTATGAAGGGATTCAGGGAAACCGGCAGGCCGGACTTGAGTCCTGGAGATGGGAAGTACAGTGCCTGCACTCTGAAGGAGGGGTGTTAATGTTGCAGTTTAAAAACTGTAGTGTAAAGCACCCTTCTGGCAAAACAGTGATGGAGTGAATGATGGTGAAAGTTTTTCTTTTTCGGGCCACCCTGCCTTGGTGGGAATCGGCCAGTGTGATAATAAAAATAATAATAATAATGTATTATTATATAATTATTATATATGTATTATTATTATTATTATTTATTAGTATGTATGTATTCTTAAAATAATACTCTTGCTTACCATTTGGAATTTTTATTCACACAAAGAGAAGCTTTACTGTTATGGAGACTACTGCATTACTGTAATAATTGTATAAATAATGACTGCATATCGGAATGGTCAGTTGTACAGGTATTGTTTACTCTTAAACATCACCAAAGAAGCAAACATTTCTGCTACTTTGATCTCTATTTCAAGGTACTTTTCATTGTGAAACCAATCAAAATTATATCTATTTCTGTTATATATCTTCCATTCTATCAAATGAGACCAAAACAAAGAGAATGCAGTCATAAAAACAATACAAAAATACACCTACCACCAACTTATGACCTGCTCGACTTACGACCACTCGACTTACGACCGTGTTTTTTATGCCAAATTTCTGGGAAATAAACAACTATTTGTGTTGTACACAGTGTTTATCCTAAACCTTACAGTATAAAATACAGTACTAACAACATAAAATATGAAATAGCAAAATAAAACAATAAAATAAAGTCATTACAAAAATGTGATGTTGATATTCAGTAGTAAAGTTCGACTTACGACCATTTTGACTTACGACCGGTTTCTCGGAACCGAACTCGGTCATAAGTTGGATGGTAGGTGTATAATGCTAAGGAGCGGCTAAATGCTAAGAAGTGAACTCCGTTATTTATGGTCTGATTTCTTTCAATTTTGTTGTATGTTAAGAAGCATCTTTCCATCATACATTGCCAGTTTCAATAAGATAGTCCAACAAACAACTGAGATCCAGTTCCCTAGATTAAGAGCAAGAGCCCCTCACCATCATCAAGGAACCTCCCTTGAGGTTGGCTCGCATCTTGAAATTTCGCTCGCATCTGGAAGCAAAAAATCGACCAAGCAACTGCTCGTATCTTGAAAAACTTACACGTTGGGGCACTCGTAAGTAGAGGTTCCACTGTATATACACACCCCTTACTGGTTCTTGTTCTTATTTCCTCTTATCTCCATGGGGAAGTGGAACAGAATTCTTCCTCCATAAGCCATGAGTAGTGTAAGAGGCGACTAACATGCTGGGAGCAAGGGGCTAGTAATCCCTTTTCCTGTATATTTTACTAAAGTTAAAAAAAAAAAAACTTTTGTTTTTCTTTTTGGGCCGCCCTGCTTTGGTGAGATACGGCCAGTTTGTTGAAAGAAGAACAACTTACCTATACAAAAACTTGATATAAGAGTCATTTTCTATTAGTATGAAGTCACACCATTCTGCCAGCAGCGCTGTGAGAGCTGACTCAGCCTGTCGACAATGTACAATTCCATACCTGAAATTGGTGAATTTGTTGATGCTCTCATCTACAAAAGTTTATGTATATTTAGAATTTTATAAACAAAGATGGCAAAAAATATTTTTGTGTGTGAACAGGCAAATATTCTTAGAAAAAACTAAACTCGCATAAACTTACTATTTTTGTCGAAATATCTGTATCAACAAAAAAAAAAAAAAGACTTACTGACCTTCACTATAAAGTAACCACTAAACCCATTCATGTTGTGTGTCTTCAGAGAATACATAACCTCATTAAGATCCTCATTCCCTAATAATTTACTCTAAATTTGTGGCATATAACCTCTAATCTAGTAATCCTTGTATCCTCTATATTAAAAAAAATTGCTTCCCCAGAAATCTCTTGTATTTAAGGAGTCCATGGAGCTTCAATACCATGGCACTAGGATTTATGTATAAAACTCTTCTCTCTACATATTTAAGTTGTATGCTCCTGCTAAGTTTGAATACTGGACTTACCACTTTGCACTCAGACAGAACCCACTGATAACAAAGCTCGACACAAAAATATTGGAAACTTACAAATGGGTAATCACAATAGTAAAAAAAAAATTTTTTAACACACTAGTTATCCCCCACCAAGGAGAGCCACCCAAAAGAGAGGAAACACTTTCACAATCATTCATTAATCACTGTCTTGTCAAAATCATGCTGACATCACAGTTCAGACGACCCTCTGAACTTCAACTTTAGTTACTTATAAGTAGTCATGATGATGTGCAAATTGTAAGTAACCTTGAACTCACATTTAACTATGGAGGCATCCATGATCTATGTCTTGGTTTCATCATTATTTCTTACAGCTGCAAGTCTTCCACTTTAATATATATAACATCATACTATTTCTAAAGACAAACCACTATCAATACTGGTAATACTATCCTCCCTGGTAGGATATTCATATGGAAACCCTTTCATGTTTTCCCATGACCAGGATTATAACTTTATTGATCATGTTAAGGACTGATGTAATTCCTACGAATATTCCTCAGTCAAGACCTTTAATAATGCCACTGAAAGTGATATTTAAAATTATTTAGAACTGCCTGAACAGCCACACAGACATCTTACTCCAAACTCCATTAATCAAACTTAAAGGGAAAACATGCCAAAAGAGACTAGCTTGTTTTGTGCTCAGCAAGAAAGATAATTTACAACATTCCTTTCACTAAGTTTTAACTCGATGCTGCACAAACTGAAGGCCTGTGCTTGGAGATTTGTCTTCTTCTACAACCCCTTTCCTTCTCCCCTATATATACATTAGTTCCCCCATATCCACAGTGAATACATTCCAAGACCTACCGTGGATACCCTAAACCACGAATAGTAACATACCCTACGTCGTTTTTTCATTTACATACGTACGTACTATCATGAAGTTGAATTGATGAATTATGCACATTAAGTTGAGAATTAGCACTTTTTCACTGATGGGAAGCACTTCACAGTTTCTCTTTGGCATTGAAGAACTGCCAACTGCCACCATCACTACTTTTGTGTTTGGGGCAATTATTAAGCAAGATCTGTTGGAGTGTGAGCAGGGTAATATTTAGTGAAGGGATTCAGGGAAACCGGTTATTTTCATATAGTCGGACTTGAGTCCTGGAAATGGGAAGTACAATGCCTGCACTTTAAAGGAGGGGTTCGGGATAGTGGCAGTTTGGAGGGATATGTTGTGTATCTTTATATGTATATGCTTCTAAACTGTTGTATTCTGAGCACCTCTGCAAAAACAGTGACAATGTGTGAGTGTGGTGAAAGTGTTGAATGATGAAAGTATTATCTTTTTGGGGATTTTCTTTCTTTTTTGGGTCACCCTGCCTCGGTGGGAGACGGCCGACTTGTTAAAAAAAAAAAGGGTTATTTTCGAGCTAAGGTAAACTGCAGATACCTGAAACCGCAGAAACCAAATTGGTGAATACAGGGGTTCTTCTGTACACATTGCATCCATGTAATGTATACATCAGCTTTAACAAAGCCCCCGGTGGCAGATATGTAGCATTAATAAATATATCATTAACCCTTTGACTGTTTACGCCGTATATATACGTCTTACGTGCCACTGTTTCTGACGTATTAATACGCATAAATTCTAGCGGCTTCAAATCAAGCGGGAGAAAGCTGGTAGGCCCACATGTGAGAGAATGGGTCTGTGTGGTCAGTGTGCACCAAATAAAAAAAATCCTGCAGCACGCAGTGCGTAATGAGAAAAAAAAAACTGACCATTTTTTTGGATTAAAATGCTGACTTTGGGGTGTATTTTCGTATAGTATTTATCGTTGTATTCTCGTTTTCATGGTCTCAGGTGATTAAATGGAAAACATATTACAGAAATAGAGATGATTTTGATTAGTTTCACAATGAAAACGACCTTGAAATTGAGCTCAAAGTAGCGGAAATGTTCGATTTTTACCAATGTTCAGGAGTAAGCAAATCACATCACATGTCCAATACACGTCAACTGGGGAGTCTAATATTCTTTCACTAGTGCACTGATATTATTTATACCATTTTTACAATAATGCAGTAGTCTGCATTAACAGTAAATTTTGTATTGTTTTGAATGAATAAAAAATCAAAATAGAAAGCAATAGTAACATAAGAGGGGCCTAGAGACGTGACTAATGAACAGAGGATATGTTATTTTAGTGCCAAGAATGTCTACACTGTTTATTCTGGACCCTATTTAGAAATTGGCACCTTTCTTAATTTACGTGAAATTGGCCAAATTGCCAATTTATGACCACTTTATTGGGTAGTTAACCCTTTGACTGTTTCAGGGCCCTCTCTGAAACTGTCATTCTATGTCGCCAAATATTCGAAAAAAAAAAAATTATTTTTTCTTATGAAAATGTTAGGAATATTTTTACTAGTGTTTTAAGCCTAAAAAAAATTTTTGCCATCAGTACTTACCGAGATATAGAGCCGGAAAGTTTGCAGAAATTGACGTGCGTACGGCAACAGCGGCGACTGCCGCCCACCCGGTATTCTTTTATTTACTCTAATTCAAAGGTTTCTTGCATTTTTCAATATTTTTCTGTTCCAGGTAACTTATTGGGCCTGTGAGACAATGTAAGGTGCATTGTTTCAACTATACACTCATTATTTACATCACATAACTGAACAAACTTTATCACTATTAGTTTGTGTATAACTTTGTTTCAAAAACAAACAATACAAAACAATGTTTATTACTAGGGTTCCATAATATTATACATTATGTACAGTCACTAAACCACGTCCTTAGAACTGCTGAAGCTTGTGGAACTATTTGAAACATGGGTATATGCTGAGGGGCATTCACACTCTCACTCATAAAACGAGTGTCTCTGCGTGTTTGTGGGCGTTTGTGGTATGCATACATACATAACACTCTTCTGAGGATTTTTCTTGGCAGTAGTAGGAGGCCAGTTGTATGGGTTAGTGATCACAAGGCCTCATACGAGTGACGTCTGTGGGCGTCTGTCTATTGCAGGAGTTGCTCCTTGGTATTAGCAATTATTTGTTCTGATTACTGACAGGCAAAAAAATTCACCATATTTTGGTGTTTTGTTGTCTTCAAACTTGTATATGTTATAAGAATTTAGCATAGAGATACAACAAGATGGAAAAAAAGTTTGATATACCACTTATAACTCTTGTCATACACAGTCTGCAAACAATCTGATGTTCACATTTGTCACAAAGCGCTCATATTGAGGTTGTAGTCCATGACAGCTGCAGGCTTGTAGATTGGGTTCATTGGGTCTCTCTGTTGTCCCTGCAACTGGTCCATTTCGTTTGTCGTGAACTGCATGTCACAATGTGTCATCACGTTTGTCATTGCCACCGAAATGCCATGAGTCATTGGAAGCAAAGGCTTGCACCTACCTCTGCTGTGCCAGCGTCGAACCTTGGCATATCTTTGCGATTTTTTTTTTTTTTAACCACTAAAACGGGGGCACTGTGCCACACACGTCTGTCAGTTCACTCGCAAGAATCACTGAGTAAGGGCGCTTGGTGTACCAGTTATCAGTAAATAAAATATTGCCCTTACCAAGATATGGTTCCATCATTGTTCGATCCACTTCACCAGAGATTACCCCAATAACTTTAACTGGTATCTCTCAAAGTATTAACTGCCAGGTACACAATAATATCTAAAAAAAGACACTTCATGCAATCACACAGTACCAAATTGCTTTATACCAAAGCGTTTCCTCTTGCTTGGTATATATTGCTTGAATGAGAGTCTTCCTTTGAAATAAATCAGGACTTCACAATAACAAGTTCCTGGAAGGGATAAAATACATTGCAGCAACTTTTGTTTAATGTACCTTAAACACATTTCTTATTCTTATATAACCTGTCGCTTCTGTCAGGCCTGGTTTTGTCTGAAAGTGTAACATCGTAACTGTTTAGAAACGATTGAACTTCTATAATGTCACTAACACCTGGAGTTTGAAATCAGGCGATTGTTTTCCAGTATGTGGTGACAGTGTGGCTTATACACAATGTGCATAAGCATTATTGTGGCAAAAAAAACAGTAAATCTCTGCCACAGTTGTTCCTTCCACTTGTGTGAGCCGTGATTTTTGGTGAGAGAATTGTATTTGCCCATGGTGTAATCACAGTATGTATTTGTTTCCTGACAAATGAGTCCATCTGGTTCATCGAAAAATAAACTCAAAAGCAATTTCCAGTTCACTGGCATTGTTCCCAGTGGACAAGATGGCTTTATTCCACTTTGTGTTTCATCAAAAAGTCAGGGGACTGGGAACAACTCGTTCACCGTCCTCTTGCCATCCCAGATGCGGTCTGCTGGTGGGGTCTGGATATTGTACTGTGGTTCTGGTCTGTGCAGGTGTGGTTGGTGCAGGTTGTGGCAGTGTGGGGGTTAGGGTGATGAGGCTGTTGGTCTGTGAGTCAGCCGCGTGGCTAGTTAGCGTGGCCAGTTGATCAGGTGGCCACATGGGCCGTGCCACCCTCACTATCACA